AAGATACTTGAAAAGATCTTTTTAGGATTTTTCTCAGTTTCATAGGCTATCTAACAGAGATTGCGGTCAGTAACATCATCGAGCAATCCAACAATAATGAGCAAACAGAACTGGTATACTGTTACATAGTAACAAAGCATAACTAAAATTTTTTGGAAAAAAAAGTTATTTCTTATTTTTTTGTTATTAATAACAATAACAATAAATTCACACCCCTAATATATCTCTTCTTTTAACAACTTATGCAGCAAAATAAAGACACCTTTTTTTTCGAATAACAAGTTTTTTATCTTAAGTTGATATCAGGTAACAACAATTACTTTTCATCTTCTATCTTTCTTCATGATTACATTTACTATTAACATTCACCAACATACAGTCATCTATGAATATCTTAAAACAAAAAAATAATTTTTGTATAACATGTGGCACAACAGCAGGTATGTTTACATGTCGTGGTTGTTCAAAAAGTTTTTGTTTAACTCATACAAATCAACATCGAGAAATAGTTGAAAAACAAATGAATGAAATAATTCTTAATCATAATTATTTAAAACAACAAATAATTAATGAAGAACCAAATCAATATCATCAAATATTAATAGAACAAATTGATCAATGGGAAAAAGAATCAATTAATAAAATTCATCATACAGCTAATGAAATTCGTCAACAATTAATAAATAAAACTCGTGAATATCATGATAATCTAAAAGAAAAATTAACACCACTTACACAAGAAATAACTAAAGCTCGACATGATGGAAATTTTTTTGAAAATGATTTACAACAATGGGCATATACAATAAAAAATTTACAATATTCATTTCTTCAACAAGAAAATATTCAAATATCTATAGATAATAATACAAATTCATTTATTTCAAAAATTTCACTTACTAATAAACTAAATAATAGTATGATATCATTAATAAATAATAATCAAATTGAAAATTCTAGAAATTTTAATTTAACAAAAGAATATTCATCAGGTGATCATTTACTTCGTTTTCAACTTGAACTTTATGAAACAAGTGATTCCGTTATAATGGGAATAATATCTACAAGTAAATCAAAAAATGTGAATCCAGATAAAAATCCAACATTTTATGGTTGGTCAACTAATAATTTTGTTTATTTACATGGTATTGCTTATTCAAATTTTAATGGTTATGAAAATGATATAGAAAAAAATGATGTTTTTCAATTACTTCTTGATTGTGATAAAAAATTTATTCGATTAACAAATGAACGTACACATCAAATACATGATTTGAGTATTGATATTACTGAATGCCCTTTTCCATGGCAACCACAGATTTATATTTCAAATAATGTTGAATAAATTATTTGATTTAATTAGTTTTAACATATAATCTTATTTTTATATTTCATTTTAATATTTTGTGTGTGCCCAGAATTGAATTTTTGATTATTGTTTTATGTTAAATTAAATTTTTTTTAAAATTTGGTGATTCAAAGAAAAAAAACAAAACAAATATTTCAACAATTTTGATAATTTTTTTTTTTCATATCATATCTATGACGTACTTGCATAGAGATACCTTTTGTATGATATCATTACTATTATTAAACAAACATGTACACTAAATATACTTAATATCATGCAAGTATAGCCATATCTAAGAATTCTGAATTCTTATCAAAAAACGTTGTAGACTTCACCTCTTTTATTTTTAAAAAATACCTTAATATTCAAGTAAATAACAAAAAAACTACGCTGCCCAGTTGAGCAAAGTTCGAGTAGGAAAGACGGTTAACTGCAAAAGTCTGAAAAATGTTAAAATCTACTATCTAGGCTCAGATGACAAGTTAAGAGATAAAGATAAAATTTTTCAATAACAAGTTTTAGTTGTACAATCGTCCCATTCTTATGATCTTGGTAAACTTTCTCTCATTTCAAAGTAATGATTAGGTCTGGAATACGAATGATTCACCTGTAAGTGAATGAAAAGAAATAAATTGGTTGCTGCACATTGTGCAGTCAGCCACTTTTCACTCAACAGGATCTTACGAGACCATTCGAAAAAAATTTCGAACACAAAAATATATGTTCTAAAGGACTTTAGAATACATACTGAAATAGAGAGAGATCATACTATCATAACTTATACGTCGGCTTTGCCAAAAAAAGCCAATATTTGTGTAGTATCACAATCTACTTAAAGCAACAAATGTCCATTGATGGACAGATAGATATATTAATATAATAATGTCAATTTACTTATCACTATATGTACAAGTAGCATGCATCGAGAATCGGTACACTTGATCCTAGACTGACGGTATCACGCAAAATTTATAAACAAACCTAAGTATATGTGTACTCCAGTGGCGTACGCAGAAATTTTTCAAGGGGGGGGGCCCAACTTCGTAGGGGGGGGCGGCCATGGCACAAAAAATTTTTTATCACGTCAAAATATTTTTTCCTGTACCCCCTCCAGGACTTTTTCGTCTCAAGGGGGGGCCCGGGCCCCCCTCGGCCCCCCCTGCGTATGCCACTGGTGTACTCTAAGAAAGTTAATAGAAAATGGGAAAGACGGCTTGCAATGTAACGGCGAGGTCTGTGGCAGAGCTAGCTTTTTCAATAATCTAAAATGATCATGTGTACCATAGAGATGGTCATTCATATCATAATCATATTCAATCTGACCATAGATATGGTTGTTCGTGTTATATATATATGGTCATTTGTGTTGTAGTCATGATCGTTTGTGCCACAGAAACAGCTATATTGGCCTTAGCAACATTCATTTATGCCAAAGAAATAGTAATTTGTGCCATAAAAATGGTCATTTGTGCCAAGCCCTTGTTACAGACAGACAGACATGGATGAATTACGATTCCTAGACCTTATTCTTTTAGCCTAGGAAAAATAGAAATTGTTTCCTCAAGCACAAAATCATCTTTCATAATGAACTTTATTTATTACAATCATCAATTCTTTGTTCTTTTTTTTTTGCTAGATTTATTAGTTCAAGTAATTAACTATTCTGTACAAACAATAAATAAAAAAAAAATTATTTTTTTCTACATACAAGCTTCGTTTATACAAGAACAAAAAAAAAGAGAATGATAACAATAATTTGTTCATAATAATTAACTGAATCTGAAAGAAAAATACTCAAACATAGGATAATACAATTAAAAATATATCAAGCTTGAATAAAATGTTATGTTTTATTTTACTAATCGATTAAACAATACGAATGAAACTCTAGAAAATTGATAATATTTTTTGTTGTTTCTTTTGGTTTGTCATATGATATAAAATGACCACAATCATCAAAAATAATTACTTCTCTATTGAATATTAATTTAGAAAAATATTCAATACCTTCCACTTTACATAACTAAATTATTATAATTATAATTCAAAATAAAATATATTTCATAGAAAAAAAAAAAAAAAAAATCTACATACTTGATCTTGACGACCCCACATAATTAATACTGGATATTTAATATATTTTAATTGTTCATAATATTGTTCAAGATTAAGATAATCATATTTAAGAAATGATTTCAATACTAATAATTAAATAAAATAAAACTTAGTTTTTTTTTTTTTTTGTTTATAATTAAAAAAACAAAACAAAATTAAATCTAATTACTTTCTTTTTGTTCATCTAATAGATGTAATCTTGATTTAAAATATTTATTAACAAATACTTTTGGTAGATTAGTATCTTTGATTGTCAATAGATCAGCCATAATATTAAATTGTTTAGAAGTTTCTGGTAAAAGTATATAATCTTTTCCTGAACGTAATTGTTTTATTAAAACACTTTCATATTCTCGTATAGCTATCATAATATAAATAATATTGATATATAAAATTAATAAAACTTACGAGTAGGTGCAAGTAAACAAATCATATTAATATATTTAGGATATTTAGTAGTAAATATAATAGCAACTGTTGCACCCATTGATGCACCAATAATATACATAGGTTCAATTAAATTCATTTCATCAAAAAACTATATAGAACATTAAGTTTTATATTTATTTTCTATTTAAATTATTCAATACCAATTTTAGTTTATCAACACATGTATCAATAGTATAATCATCTTCTTTGAATTCAATAGTTTCTCCATGATATGGAAGATCAATTATAATACAATGATAACCATCAGGAATATACTATATATATATATCAATAAAAATTTTCTAATACTATGTAATAAATGAGGGAATTATGACTTTTTGTTTTTTTTGTACAATTGATGTTTTCTCAAGTGTCTAAACTTTAGTTTTCATTCTGATGGAATGATTTTAAAGTGATAGTTTTAATTTTATTCCTCTCATAATTTTTTTTTTTTGCATCTACTAGAAACTCATCGGATTGATCCTAAAGTAACAGTCAATTGAATCTGGATTCGAAAATTTTCAAGTCTTTTCTATATCAAAGAAAAATTATTCGAAATGTCTACGAAAATAAAATATTTATTCGCTTTACATAGTTGACATATTGAAACTTGTTTGATCTATAACTTACGAACAATTGTTCTGATTTCATTCAAAAAGTTATATTAGTGTTAAAAAATATTTCATTCTTATAGTTTTTACTGTTCGAAATATATATTCAAATTATATCACAATATGTACAGTTCAATCAACTCAAAAGTATACTTTTCAGTTCTAATTTAATTCAGTAAAGTTCTATGAATAAATTCAATTAAACAAAAATTGAATGTTACATTGAATATTTCGCCTTCTATTAACTTTTTGGCTCGCGGCGACACATATTTACGTCCGAATCTATTTATCGAATATAAAACATCAGTAGCATATTTTTTTAATCGTCTAGAAAAACTTTCTATCGTTTGTTAGATGATGTCATACGAATATATTTCTTCATTGTTTCCTTTCGACGTGATATCGTCAGAGAAGTTTTAACAAAGTTCGGACCACTAAGACCAACTACTATTAGAAGATAACCAACAAGACCTTCTCCTCTGAGTTTAATTGCTCGACATGTTCCTTCCCTCATTCCACAAACATTGCAACTAAAATAGTCTTGATAAAAATGCATGATTTGCTCATTCCATAGTCTTCGACACGATATACGTGTCCTAACTTCAATATATAATCAAATGTACTACTCAAAAGTTGTTGAAGTATATATATTTTTTTTTGTATTATTTGTACTAAAAAGTGAAAATTCACTTAGATATTAACAAACTTTCATAGCAGGAAGCCATGATTCTTTGTTCGATGAAAACCCATGAATAAATATCATACTTGATTGACCCGGTACTCGTTTACCTTTTTCGTAATAACTGAACAATATATTATTTTTATTATTAGTAATTGATAAACAACGTTTTATAACACCAGCTTTTACTGTATTTATTCTACAAAAAACAATGATTATAGTAGAATAATATATAAGAATATTTACTCATAATAAAGATTAAGAAGCCAATCTCGCATAAATAATTTCATTGTAATTGTTTAATATGATATAGAAAAAATATTTGATGATGACAATTATGTTTGTTTTTTTTTACTTTTGTACTGTATAAACTGGAAAGGAAAAGAAAATTTTCTACAATCATTTATTACGATGAATACTAAACAGAAAGAATGAGTCTTATTTGTACTTTAATGATAAACATATGTAATATATACAGGTAAGTGTAACCAAAAAAAAAAAAATTTCTTTTTCTCATTTCGATTAATTATTGTTACTATGAGTTTAAACAAAAAAACACTTGTACTATATACAAATTTTTATTTAAAAAACTGATATAACATATTCCAGCTATTCGACTTTTGACGAAGACTTTGGAATGTTCTAGAACAATGCAAGTCTTGTTGTTAGTGTCGTACGGCACCTTTTTCATTGCTAATGAACTCTAAGGAAATATTCTGGCACCTATTGTCCTTGATTATCGGCCGTGATTGATCAATTAATAATTGAAGACTATTAATTAAAATATTATTATATAGGACAATGAAGCAATTGAAGACAAGATTGTCACGATAAAAGAATTCCTTTGAGGAAAAAAAAACCAGACGAATTGAAAATATAAAAGTCTCAATAGATTATGCAGTACTGAGAAATTTAATTTTTTCGGCGATAATCAGAAGTTGTTGATTTCAAAAAACATTCCAAATCGACGATTCGGATTCAGTTCGTGAAGAGTGTTTCTAAAAAGTATCTTTGAAACCAGTGATATAATTATAACGTATATAAAAAACGAGAAAATCATTACTGTTAATCAACTGAATAATCTATTCTTTAATAACAAAAAATCATATGGATTTGAAACTTTGAACAAACATTAAAAGGTGTCCAGCTACACATAAATAGAAATTTCAGCTTTCTATTTTGTTTTTTAGTAAGATCTAGAACAATAATTAGTATATTTATAATACTCATATTTTGTGTCTATTGCATATTCAATCATATTCAGTTCACTCGAGTGAAGAAATCTATTTTTTTTTCTTTGATGACAATAATTTTTTTTTTCGAGAACAAAAATATTATTTGAGTTTATCTCTTAATTTGATAGAATGTTACTGAAAAGACATCATCGAAAAATCGTCGTTTATGACAAAAGCTTCACTTTTAATGGTAATATTTCTTAAGGTTATTATGAAGGCGCATATCCAACCATGTTTTTTTTTCTGAAAGCGTCTTTTTTCTTTGAC